GTTGATTATCCCCCCTCTCACTGCAGGACATCAGAGTATAAATCTTAAGCAACCACTTCAAGCCGAGTATATTGAATACCTTGGGACGATATCAACACTGCCTTAATCCCAGGCAGTTAATGCAAGCATTAATCAGGCAGATTATGCCTGAAACAAGGCAGATCTGCTGCCTGAAAGGGACCTCTTAAACCTCGTATCTTATTGCAAAAACAATATTAAAAGAATTAAAGTTTGAATTAAGAAGTTAAAAATTGCATTTTGATAAATCAATAAAATTGGATCAATTTCAAAATACAATTTTAATTGTTGATTAATATAAACAATGTTATCAGAATGAAATAGACTGATGAAGGTTTAATTATTTAGAATTAATTTACCGCCAACCTTTCCACACTTAAACTCGTTTATAAGATACTAATCAATATTTATAAAAAAAAGATTGATTTTATTTAAAACGACTTGGCCATGAAGTAAGCGCTCTTGTTTTCTACAAAGAAACTTCACTTATAAAGGCACCATGAGCTCTTGCCACAATTTCTAATATTCAAGTCTCTATATCTTTGCATGCTGATGGTGTAAACATTTGATATTTCAAACTTCGACTAATTAATCTTATAGAATTCATGGTTTAAAAAGTAAAGGTCTGCGACATCGGATTTCAAAAATATAGGTTTTAGAAAATCAGAGTTTGTTACAAGAACTCAGTTTCTGAAATGAAATACAAATTCCATCAACTATTTGTTTTTTTACTTAAATTCTTAAGAAGTAATTGGTAAAATTCTCATCGAATTTTTGCGATTAGTGTGTGTCACGTTTTTAGTGGCTATATTTCTGCCCAGAAGTGTGTTTAAATGATTTAGTTTGATTTCTTTAAAGCGATTTATAATTATTCCATTAATCATTTAGTTGATTCTACGCCGCGTAATTGGTCCTCCCTGCATCCAATAGCAGAGCGAGAAATGAAACATTAATGTTTTTGCTTCGGAAGCCTTAACTTTTTGTCAATCAAATCCGCTCAGTGCTTAGTATTTAGTTTACAGCTGACCCGATATAATTGAAAATGATTTTAAAACTTTTTATTATTATTTTAGTAATTGAATAAGGGGAAAGGGGTACATTTAAAAGGAAGAAGGGGATAAATATTTTTGCAGTTTTTTTAACCTGATATCTAAATGAAACCAAGGATTCATGATTTAGCGGTCATTACCCCAGGTTTTGTTGATTATCTGCAGAACTAATATCATTCTTAAAAACATCTGGAAGTTAAGTCACTGAATTTTGAAAGTAAAAATATAATAATTGGAATTGGAATCCGTGCATTTTTTTAACGAAACTATGTATATCATAAAATGACACCCTATTCTACGCGCGTGGGTTCAGTGCGTTGAAGTCTCTGAAACCAAACTCGAAAACCTGTCCTGTCCAACTTCCAGATATATTTCATCTTCAACCAAACCAGTTTAGCGGGGGGGGGGGTAGAGAGAAGGTTTCCCCAAAATATGATTTAATTTTCAAAAACCTCTACTTTTATTCACAAGCTTCAAAGTAATCAAGAATAACAAATTTATGATGGGTGCGGGGGGGGGTATGTGCCCCCCACCCCCCAAGTAAAAAAATATACTTTTGTTGACACTACACAAATAATGTTGCAGACATAAAAAATTGTGGTTTACATAAAAGTCCTAGGGGAAAATCTAACATTGGAAAAATTGAATACTTAATATTTTGGGGCGCATTGTAATCCATAGTTTAGGCATTTTTTGGACACCGTTAAAAAGAAGATAGGCGGGGCCAATAGTTTTAGTTCTAGATTAAAGTTGTCTTTATCCATAGAGAATCTTTAACTGGTTTATATTCATTAAATCCTNCCCCCCCCTCTTGGTCTAATTGCGCCTGAGTGAGGTTAACTGCCTGACTAAAGCTAAACCAAAACAGGCCACGAACCAGGCAGTATATTCTTTGCTTTATTTAACTCTCCAAATTGTGAAGACTTTTTCAACATTTTACTTTTCCTTAATGAATACATTTTTTCGTGAGGAATGTTTCATGATAAAATAACTGGTTTGAATTCCAACGTCAATCCTTTTCTGCTTAATGATCTTATACTTTTGTCAAAGGTTGAAGGGGGGGGGATGGAGAATGAATTATTTAGTAAATTGTTAAGATACTAGCTTGGGAACCCAGCGTTGTCCAGATTACTAATAGTTACTTCCGCCGTTTACCCGCGCTTGGTCTTAAATTTACGATTTTAGCTATTTTTTCCTATAAACGTCGACCCACTCAGTTCAATATCTCAAAACAAACCCAATAACATTCCCGTAGTTCTCCCGAGTTCCCCCATCCAAATTTGAAGCAAATCGGTCAAGGGGTTTCTTAGTTATGATCAGACAAACAAGCACATAGAGATTACCAAAATAGCACACATGATAAGATTGTACAAATAAATATATCATAAAGAGTGTTAGAAATAAGAATAAAAATGTTTATATTGAAATCAATGTACTTATCACTAACTAGGGGGTACTTGGGGAACTTTTGCTCTAGAGTAGATACTTACATTCTAAAATATACATCTATAAGAAATGGTAAAAATTAAAAAGGTTTGTTCAATTTTGTTCAATTTAGAGGTATGAACTGGATTCATACAGGGTGTTTCAGAATACTTACAACCTCAGAAAATGACCTGAACATTTAACTGGGCCAACTGCATAAATTGCATGCAAGTACATTGTACAGGGTGTCCAAGAACACCCATTTATTTGGTTGACAGTTAAAAATAAGTTTTGGGGTAATTAATGTATTCTGGGACACCCTGTATTTAAAAAAACTGAATTGATAATTAAAAATTACTTACTTTGACCTAGATGGACTCGTTTCATCCACGGGTATATCTGGGGAGGATTTGATTTGACATCCTCCTTTTTGGTCGAGGACGCTGCACCCCCCGACGGAGTGGGGCTAAGGGGGGAGTTGGGGTCCTCAAAATCTGACTCTGGGGATTTTGGAGGATTTCCTCCTGGTCCTGGTTGAGGAGTTCCACCGCTAGATGTGGTGCTAAGGTCCTGCGGGGAACCTACATTAGAATCCGCGTACTTACAACTACCTGCCGGCGGGGCGGGTGGGATACCTAAACTGGTTTGTGATGAGGCGGGAGGTATGAGCCCAGGACTCCGGCGTGACTGGGAGGTGGATGAAGGGGGTGTGTAGTCCTGTGAGGGTGTGGTGGCGGAGCCCCCCATCATATTGGCGTACTGGGCGTACCCCTGGGTGGCGGGAGAATAGCATGAAGGGTACTGCATTCCGTAATATTCTTGACCGGTTCCCGTCGCGGTAGTTCCTGCACCGACACTGCCTACCCCTGTCACCCCGGCCTGAAATGAATAAATAAATATATTTATTTACCAAAAGCAAATAAAAAAATTTAAATCCAAATCAATTCCACATGAAATATCACGTGTGTTTTACCAAGCAATTAAAATTAGTACTTCAAAATAATAATTTGCTTTCAATAAAACGTAATTTAAGTTTACTTTGAGACCACTGCGCTGCATCTTTTAATATTTCAAACATTTTTAAAATTCTAAATTTTCATTTTATCTTAATATTAGCCTACCTGTTCATAACACTGAGCCAGTGTGTTCACAAACTGGTACGAACTCATATCCATCCTAGATAGATATAGATATAGATATAGATTTAGGTGTAGATATAGATATAGATATAGATATAGATATAGATTTAGGTGTAGATATAGATATAGATATAGATATAGATATAGATATAGATTTAGGTGTAGATATAAATATAGATATAGATATAGATATAGATATAGATATAGATATTGATATAGATACAGATACAGATATAGATATAGATATAAATAGATATAGATATAGATATATATCAATTGGGATTGATAAAAGCATTGGTTTAGGAAGAATATTTTATGTTGTGAGAATTAGATTGATTAGGGAGGGATTAAACAAAATTAAATCAAAAATGAATTAGAAGATAATATTTTGAAAAGGAGAAGATATACAATAATAAGGTAATTTATAACTTTATTTGAATTATGGGAAGATTTGAAATATGGGAATGGGGGGAAAAACGATGGAAAAAATTAGAAATGATGTAATCATAAAAATGATGGAAGAGGCAACTAACTAGATGTTAAAATGAAGCCGGAATCATTTTGGTTAAAAAGCATTTTACTTCAAGGGTATACCATTTTTTAACCNAAAATGAGAAGAACAGCTTCCCCAGTATAGATAGGGTTGAAAGGAATATAAAAATTAGAATCATAAAGAAGATAACCCATGAAGAAAGCTAATGATTAAGCATAAAACATTTTAAAAAGACAAGGATTGGAGAAGAAATGTACAATTAAAAAAAATATCAAAAAATAATAAAAAACGAAATGTAGAAAAAGCTAGTAGAAATTAAACGAGAAAGGATGGAGAAGTAAAAAAACAAATGATGAAAGAGATCAGAAAGAGATAAAGATTAAGTGAATATAACTAAGCTGTGTATTGATAATGAAATTATCCACTCGAGTCACACTTGCTCACTTTCTTCTCAACAGAAATATTATCCTATATTTCAAACAAGAACTTTTTATAGTTTGAACAAGAGGTTTTTTATATTTCAAACAAGAACTTTTTATATTTCAAACAAAAACTTTTTTTCAAATTTGAAGAAGAATTTTTTTCTTGTCTTTTGAACATGAATTTCTTTCTTGTCTTTCTTTGAACGAGAACTTTTTCCTTGTATTTCAAACAAGAACTTTTTCCTTGTATTTCGAACAAGAACTTTTTCCTTGTATTTCAAACAAGAACTTTTTTTAAAATTTGAACAATAACTTTTTTCTTGTCTTTTGAACATGAATTTCTTTCTTGGCTTTCTTTGAACAATAACTTTTTCCTTGTATTTCAAACAAGAACTTTTTGCCAATATTTCAAACAAGAACTGTTTGCCATACTTCAAAAACAAACTTCTCACCTGTATTTCTCACTAGAACTTTTTCTGTATTTCAACCAAGCACTTTTTTAATAGTTTGAACAAGAACTTCTTTCCTGTATTTTAAACAAGAACTTATTTCTTGTTTATTTAACAAGAGCGTTTTACTTGTTTTTTTGAACAAGATGTCTATTTTTCCAGCCAAATTTAAGTTGTGAAAATTTTACCCTTTATTTAGACCAAGAACTGTTATTCTCTCTCCTTTTTTAACAAGAATTTGTATCCTTTCTTAATATCATAACTTCTCTTTAACAAGAACTGTTAACATAATTTAAGAACAAGAGCTGTTATTCTTTCTTAAGAACATAAACCTCTCTGTAATAAAAACAGTTATCATATCTAAAGAACAGAAACTTTTCTTTAACAAGAACTGATATCTTTTCTTAAAAACAGAAATTTTCTTTAATAGAAACCTTTATCCTATCTTACGAACAGAAACTTCTCTTTCACAAGAACTGATATCTTTTCTTAAAAACAGAAACTTCTCATTAATAAAAAATGTTATCCTATCTTAAGAACAATAATTTCTCATTAATAAGAAATGTTAGTTTATCTTAAGAACAGAGAATTCTCTTTAACAAGAACTGTTATCCTGTCTTAAGAAACAGAGAATTCTCTTAAACAAGAACTTTTATCCTATCTTAAGAAACAGAGAATTCTCTTAAACAAGAACTGTAATCCTATCTTAAGAAACAGAGAATTCTCTTAAACAAGAACTGTTATCCTATCTTAAGAAACAGAGAATTCTCTTTAACAAGAAATGTTAATTTATCTTAAGAACAGAAAACTCTCATGAACTAGAATGTATGTCCTATCTTAAGAACAGAGAAGTCTCTTTAACAAGAAATGTTATTTTATCATAAGAACAGAAAACTCTCATGAACTAGAATGTATGTACTATCTTAAGAACAGAGAAGTCTCTTTAACAAGAAATGTTAATTTATCTTAAGAACAGAAAATTCTCATGATCTAGAATGTATGTCTTATCTTAAGATACAGAGAATTCTCTTTAACAAGAAATGTTAGTTTTTCTTCAGAACAGAAAATTCTCATGAAATAGAATATATGTCCTATCTTAAGAACAGAAAATTCTCATAAACTAGAATATATGACCTATCTTAAGAACAGAAAATTCTCATGAACTAGAATATATATCCTATCTTAAGAACAGAAAATTCTCATGAGCTAAAATATATGTCCTATCTTCAGAACAGAAAATTCTCATGAGCTAGAATATATGTCCTATCTTAAGAACAGAAAATTCTCATGAACTAGAATATATCTCCTATCTTAAGAACAGAAAATTCTCACGAGCTTCGAAAGTTTAAGTGACCCTTTTATATATAGAAGAGGACCATTCCGTATTTCCAACAGTACCTTGAAACCTTAACCTTATCAGTAATATGATAAAAACTAATGTCGTTCGTTCTGGCTCAACAAAAGTTCTATTCTAATAATTATTCTATTTTGCTGAAGCATTATATGAAAAAAAGAGTTTTCAAAGTTAAAAAAATGGATATCTTATTCATACTTAATCAGACAAAGGTGGTTAGGGTACCGTTGTAAATCATACAAACCTAGGGTGTAAAATACGTTTACCGTCTCTTGAAGAACAGAAATTTCTCAAGAACAAGAACTTTTATTTTGTAAACATTCTTGTTCTTCATTTTTCTACAAATTCTTTTCCTTCTCCACTTATATATCCTATACTATGTAAAATGATTTCCCTTCTACACTTATATATCCTATACTATATAGAATGATTTCCCTTCTCCACTTATATATCCTATACTATATAGAATGATTTCCCTTCTACACTTGTATATCCTATACTATATAAAATGATTTCCCTTATGCACTTATATATCCTATACTATATAGAATGATTTCCCTTCTCCACTTGTATATCCTATACTATATAGAATGATTTCCCTTCTACACTTATATATCCTATACTATACAGAATGTTTTCCCTTCTCTACTTGTATATCCTATAGTATACAGAATGATTTCCCTTCTCCACTTGTATATCCTATACCATAAAGAATGATTTCCCTTCTCTTCTTGTATATCCTATACTATAAAGAATGATTTCCCTTCTACACTTGTATATCCTATACTATAAAGAATGATTTCCCTTCTATTCTTGTATATCCTATACTATAAAGAATGATTTCTCTTCTGCACTTGTATATCCTATACTATATAGAATGATTTCCCTTCTCTTCTTGTATATCCTATACTATAAAGAATGATTTCCCTTCTCCACTTGTATATCCTATACTTTATAGAATGATTTCCCTTCTACACTTGTATATCCTATACTATAAAGAATGATTTCCCTTCTCTTCTTGTATATCCTATACTATATAGAATGATTTCCCTTCTCTTCTTGTATATCCTATACTATAAAGAATGATTTCCCTTCTGCACTTGTATATCCTATACTATATAAAATGGTTTCCCTTCTCCACTTGTATATCCTATACTATAAAGAATGATTTCCCTTCTACACTTATATATCCTATACTATAAAGAATGATTTCCCTTCTGCACTTGTATATCCTATACTATAAAGAATGATTTCCCTTCTACACTTGTATATCCTATACTATATAGAATGATTTCCCTTCTCTTCTTGTATATCCTTTACTATAAAGAATGATTTCCCTTCTCCGCTTATATATCCTATACTATATAAAATGATTTTCCTTCTGCACTTGTATATCCTATACTATATAGAATGATTTACCTTCTCTTCTTGTATATCCTATACTATATAGAATGATTTTCCTTCTCTTCTTGTATATCCTATACTATAAAGAATGATTTCCCTTCTCCACTTATATATCCTATACTATAAAGAATGATTTCCCTTCTCCACTTATATCCTATACTATATAGAATGATTTCCCTTCTACACTTGTATATCCTATACTATATAGAATGATTTCCCTTCTCCACTTATATCCTATACTAGAATGATTTCCCTTCTACACTTGTATATCCTATACTATAAAGAATGATTTCCCTTCTACACTTGTATATCCTATGCTATAAAGAATGATTTCCCTTCTCTTCTTGTATATCCTATACTATAAAGAATGATTTCCCTTCTCCACTTATATACTATATAGAATGATTTCCCTTCTACACTTGTATATCCTATACTATATAGAATGATTTTCCTTCTCTACTTATATATCCTTTACTATATAGAATGATTTTCCTTCTCTACTTATATATCCTTTACTATATAGAATGATTTCCCTTCTCCACTTATATATCCTATACTATATAGAATGATTTCATGTAAAGATCTACTTAGTTTAAATTTTTTATAGAAATATTCCCTTATATATATAGTTTAGAACATACAGTACAGGATTTATTATCAGATGTTCAATAAACTAAGTTTTTTATCCCCTCTCTCTCTTTTTTTTACAAAATGTCTGATTATTACAGTTTTTTCCGAAATCAACTTTTTTATCAATTCTCAAAAACGATTTGTGGATTTCTTACGCAAGAAAAAGTTTTTTGATTTTAGACATGATCCAGTGGTGGAGGGGGAGGGGTGAATATGATGACCCTCATGCTTTTTATATTTAGTTTACTTGGATCTAGATTTGGGCTTTTTTTAAACAGAAAGTTGTTTTTAAAGTTCTTGCCTAAAAGGCTAACGATAAGTGAAAATTGCTGATTGGTTAAAAAGACAAAAAATTATTTTTTGTTTGATTTTTTTTCAACAAAGGAATTGAGTTTTGCCACAAACTCTGATTTCTAATCCTAATATCTTTGGAACCCAATGTCATAGACCCTAGATATTTCTAACTATGAATTTTGTTGATCAAATAAAAGTTTAAAATATCAAAAGTTTACACTATTAGGTTGGAAAGATATAGAGATGAGAAAATTCAAGTTTGTGACTCAATTCCTTTTCATTATCATATGTGCCTTGTTATTATGTATACTGTGAGAGTTCAATATATATACGTGTATACGTATACTTGTAGTGTTGTATTCGTCCAGTTTAATAGATTAAGATAATGATTTAGTCAGATAATGACCGTATCGTAAAATTAGAAAAGAGAGTATTAATGTTTACTGAATTATCAATGACCAAGGAACTGGGTTTTTGCCACAAACTCTGATTTTCTAATACATATTTCTTTGCAAGACGTTATCGCATAGATTGAGCCTGCTTATAATAAGTCTCATAAATTTTTATGACAGGGTCGACTTTGAAGTGTTGCAACGTCTTTGGCTTTGATTTTTCCACTCTAACTCACTTATGTTTTCCTATAGCCCTTTACATGTATATTTGAGCACTACAAATCAATTGTTGTTGGCTAAAATTATCATCGATTATGCATGAGAGCGTGATACCTTAAAATCAAAATGTGTCGTAGACCTTTGATATTTCAAACTCTGAATTGTTAGATCAAATAGTCTAAATTTGAAATAACAAAGGTTTACACCATCAGCTTGCAAATATGTAAGGATTAGAAAATTTGAGTTTGTGGAAAAGACCCGATTCTTTTGTAAACTTAATAAACCGGATACACATCTTAAATCGTACATTCGTATAAACATGTCGCCCTTGGATTAAGCATATTTTCCCATGAAACAATTAAATACACCAACGCATGGTTACTCTAAAAGTCTCTGTACTCTATGTCCATGTGTGAATGGTTGATTACTCTGAAAGTCTGTGTACTCTATGTCCATGTGTGAATGGTTGATTACTCTAAAAGTCTGTGCACTCTATGTCCATGTGTGAATGGTTGATAACTCTAAAACTAAAAGTCTGTGCATTCTATGTCTGAATGGTTGATTACGTGTACTCTATGCCCAATTCTGAGTGTTTAATTAATCTGTAAGTCTGTGTACTCTATGCCCAAGTCTGAATGGTTGATTACGTGTAGAAGTCTGTGCCCTCTATGTCCATGTGTGAATGGTTGATTACTCTATAAGTCTGTGTACTCTATGTCCAAGTCTGAATGGTTGATTACTCTTTAAGTTTGTGTACTCTATGTTCAAGTCTGAATGATTGATTACTCTTTAAGTCTGTGCACTCTATGTCCAAGTTTGAATGGTTGATTACTCTGTAAGTCTTAGCACTCTATGTCAAAGTCTGAATGGTTGAATATTCTATAAGTCTGTGTACTCAATGTCAAAGTATAAATGATTGATAACTCTTTAAGTCTGTGTACCCTATGTCTAAGTCTGAATGATTAATTACTCTATAAGTCTGTACACCCTATGTCCAATTCTGAATAGTTAATTACTCTATAAGTCTATACACTCTATGTCCAAGTCTGAATGGTTGAATCATGTTTACATATTTACCTGATATACAAGAGCTGCTGCCTAATCAGTAGTTACAATCTCAGTCTTTAACGACCCATTAAACAGCTTTAGTCACTTGCACACAAACATGCCGATATTCCTATACGCATTCCTCAGCATATCATCTTACAGATTTACGCAAATCCCTGCGTACACTCACACTGGGGGGTCACGGGGGCAGTTTGGTGGATTTTCAAGTTCTCCCGGATTTTCTTGGATTGTGTACACTCACACAACTCCGCTGGTTTCCGACTTCTACTGAAACACAATCCGAGGATTTCTCGTGAATATATCGAGAGAGAGTTTCTCGGGGGCTTTCACTGCCCAATATTATTATTTTGGGCACTGTGTGTTTATCTTCTCCTGTTTAATTCAACTATCCGTTCTCTCACTACACAATATCTTATTAACTCAAGATATATTACTGCTTTAAATGCCAATGAGTAGAGGGCAATAAATTCTAACACAGCTGTGAATACATCAAAATGGAATGTCGGACAATTTTTTCCACAATTTTTTTTTCGGACGTTTTTTCCCACTTGTATTTTGTGGAGAAGGGTAGGTATATCGTAACCCTATGAGACACCTTCTATCGAACTGAACTATGTGTGTAGAGAAGAACAATAATTATTCCGGGATACAAGGCAACTCTTTCAGGCGAGCGGGCCAGTGAGCAGGCGCGTTTCAGCGGCAGAGACCAAGGGCCGGACCGGGTCAGTTTTTGGGGGGAATTCTGGCGCGGATCGGACTCAGGCCGCCAGGCAGGAAGGGGGGAGGGGAGGGCTAGAATCGGGGTGGGGGGAATAGACGACAGTGTAGAAAATACGGACTAAACCCAACCTGTAGAGTTTTACATATTCATGTTTGGTGTTATCAATCAGATAGAACTTATACTTTAATTTAATGTGCATTGCTAAACAAGCTGTTTTGAAAAAAATTGTTAACTTAAAAGCACATAAAAAGTATATAAATAGATAAACAGATTTTATAGATAGAAAGATAAATAGATAAATAGATAAAAAAGATAATTAGATTAATAGAATGAAAGATAAAAGATAAATAAATAAATAGACAAATTGATAAATAGCTAAATAGATTAATAGATAAAAAGATAAATTGATACATAAGATAAATAGATAAGTAAAGAAATAGGATAAATAGGATAAATAGATTAATAGATTAATAGATTAATAGATTAATAGATTATAAACTGATTATAAAATATACATAAATATAGATACACAGATAAACAGATATACAGATTTACAGATATAGATATTTATAGATATACAGATATACAGATATACAGATATACAGATATACAGATATACAAATATACAAATATACAGATATACAAATATACATATATACAGATATACAGATATACAGATATATGATATGCAGATATAAATATATACATATATACAGATATATCAATATACAGATATACAGATATATGATATGCAAATAAACAGAAAATCAAAAAACAAAAGCATTAGAACAAAAAATGAAGACATATTAAATAATTATAAAATTATTATATTGTGAAAATCTATACATGTGAAAACATAGAATTTTAAAAGTGTAATTTTGTTCAAAAATAAACGTTTTATACAAATATTTAATCATATAAACATTTAAACGTTGAAACAGCAAAAAAAATATTTTTAGAAAGTAAAACATTTCTGAAATGAACTTAAATCTTCTTTTTTCAATAGAATAAAACAAATAAAAATTAATTAATTAATTGATAAAATATTTAAACAGATTAAGTAATTTAAAGAAAAAATCTAAATAACTTGAAAAAATGTACAGTATGGGTTTAAAACTGCAATTAAAAACTAATGAAATATATTTTTTCAACATCATCAATTGTTATTCAGTGTTGGTGAATAGGCCTAAATAGATAAGACAGGAAAGGAACACTAATTAAGAATTAAGATATAAGAACAATTTATGTTATAAATAATTCTTTTAAAAAAATTTATTTTTCAAAAAATTTTTCTAACGAATTTTAGATAGGAGAGAAGAAAGAAATAGAAAAAAATAAGCTAAATTAAAAAAAAAAATGTACTTTTAGTATGATTTTTTATTTAAAAACATGCTACATTTTGGATATGATTATAAATAGATCCGGCTAGGCTCTGATCTAATCATTTTAATTGATTATAGAAAAGTGATAAGATCAATGCAATAATTAATTGAATTTTGATTTAGAAATGCGCATTTTGCAATTTAAAAAAAAATAAATAGATAAAATTTTTTTTTGTCCTTTTTTTGATTTTGTAAAGATATTCCAAAAAAGAACCATTATCAAATATTTCGAAACAAATTAAAAATCTTTTCCTAGTTTTTTTCTCTTCAATTTATCCACCAGTTAATACTGAGCTTATCTTCAATTTTAAACACTGATAAATGTTAAGATATTAAAAAGCTTCATATGGTTTTATATTCATCTACTCTGAACGGCCCCTTTAAAACTTTAAATAAATTAAAGGAGTATTAAAATATTTGAAAAATTTCCCGCGGAATGTTTAAATCCCGCCAAACTTTCTCCAAAATGCGCCAAAGGGAAAGTTTTTATTTTTGGATTTTCACGCAACCTCGACCAAGTCCGATGCCGCCACAGATAACACTCAGTATAATGAGACTGGTCATTAAATTAATGTTGACAACTCGTTTCTGCAAATGTGGATCATACGTAAGGTGGAAAAAAGCCCGCGAAACTGATTTCTCCACCATTTTGAAATCAGCTGATCTAAAACAAGATTCTTGTTAAAACTTCAAGAAAATGTCAAAATAGGAATTTATTGCTTTCTCAGTTTAGTTTTCTTAGACTCAAGTATTTCATGATGTAATTTGGTTTTCAATTGTTATGCTACCTAAGTTTTCAATAATCCTTTAAACGGGGAAGGTGTAGCGACGAAAGGAATAAGACCAAATGAATAAGACCAAATAAACTGACTGAATATATATTTATCAAAAACAGTATTTATACTAGATGCAGTATATTATAATCTAAACAATAACATGTGAAGTATGGAATATGCTGTGTACTGCATTCCAGGAATCCAGGGGCGCCACAAAGGGGTATTAAAAATTTTTTTTTTATCATGTCTCAATTTCTTAAAATTTTAGATTTTATTTTTAATTTTATAACAGTTTTTTTAAGCTTTACATATGGACTTACTTATATGATTCAGTTATGGAAGAAATGGCTCCTATGTGATAATTTTGTTTTTCAAAGTAGAATAAAATAAGATTGAACTTTTACAGAAATTTGTTGACCAAATGTATTGTTAGCCAATATTTTTAATTAAGTTACAACAATGTGGGGCCGAGCTTCTATACCACCTTAAAAAAGTTGAAAATATTAAACAGAGCGTAAATATTGTAAGAAAATTTTTTTTTTGATTTATAAAACAATTATTTTTGAAAAAAAATATATTTGTATCTGTAAAATTAATGACATATTGAAATTAAGGAAAACTCCAAAACACAAATTTTCAAGTAATTTCAAATATACATTTTGTTTTATTTAAGATACGCCATAATAAAACATAATTGCCCCTGTAGAAAATTGTTGCTTTTATAAAGAAGGACGCACATTCATGACTCATGTTAAATCACATCGCGGACGCACATTCATGGCTCATGTTACATCACATCGTGGACGCTAATCAAGACTCCAACTGATGATTGGGTCAGACCCATGAAACGTTTTGTCTTGGAAAATTAATATATTTACCCTTTTCATGTTCAATACCTCCTCCCTCCTTGCTACTTAACCCTTCATTACCTGACCCCTCCCCCCACCTCTTTACATTTTCATGTTTCCGCGGTCTTGTATGTAATTTTGGTGCCATAAAAGTGTTGAAAATAAGTAGTAATAATATTTAATGATTTACGATAAAATATAAAATTCTTAGAAAGCTGGTCTAAAGGTGGCAAGATTTGTAATTAGCTAGAAGGGGGGAGGGGGTGTACCAAAAAATGTTAAACCTGCAACGATAATTATTTACTTAATTATCGGAACCGGAAGTACATTTTTTTAAATTGGGGGGATTTTAAGCAAAATATATCCCCTGTATTCGCCCCCACCCCCTCTTTATTTAGATGTTAATTTAATGGTTAAGGTGTGTAAGAAATGCATAAATATACGTCATTTGATTCAAAAATATGTTTTTTATTATATTTGACAAATATAACAATGTTACACAGGTAGCTTAATTTTTCTTTAAGCAACTAGCTTGGGAACCCAGCGTTGCCCACGTTGCCCGTTTAACCACTCTTGGTCTTAAATTCAGTTTCTTAAATTTAAGTTTAGAAATTTATTATTTTAAAAATCAAAGGACAGGGGGCGCCCCCCCCCCCCTTCAAAAAGGGTTAATATTTTGGTATTCTTCATATTCTTAAGATTTTTAAAGATAATTTTTGTTTCATGGGAGTATTTTTTTACAACATTAATTACTGTCAATAGATTTAGCAAATGAAATGAACCCACAATGTAAACAAAACTGTTTTATTTATTGTAAATTGAAGGCAGGGAGTGGAGGGGGGGGGGGGGG